AAAGAGAGAGCTACGGTAGTAAGTAGTTGTAACGTGTAACCCATAACTGCTGGAAAGCAGACCTGACTTCGGATCCAGAACATATATTGCTGGCCTGCTCCATTCTCACACGAAATTTGTTGAACGTCTCTTGAGACGTTGGGACCTTTGCAGATGCACTGGTGTCCTTCGGGAAAAGGACAATTCAACAAGGAATTCGTATGTTCAATTTTTTTTCCTGTGCCCTTCGATATTTTAGAAGGGAGGGGCACCATTGGCTACCTCAGCCAGCCCTCCCCGAACTTTTTTTAACTCTATTTATTGGGGTGTGCGCGCATGGTTGCGCGTGCACTAGGTGCCGCACGTGCGGAGCTCGCGCGCATGCGATGCGCCGGGGTATAGGGGTGATATAGGGGGTTATGGACGGTTTAATAAGGGTGTTGGCGGCTGTTCGGGGCTGTTGGGGTGGTATATGGGGTATTGGGGTCTGCTATGGGGGTGTTGGTGATATTATTAGGGGTTCTGGACCCCCCCCTTAAAAAAAAAATGCGGGGTGCCGACGACCCCCGACCAGTAGGTTCCGACCAGCCGACCGGTCGGCGGGTCGGCAGCCGACCAGTCAAGGGTCACCGACGGTCAGGGTGTGCACTGTGATAATAAGGGTTGCACTACCTTGGTTCTCATCTCATCTCGACTTGGCTTTGTGTGAAGCTTCTCTATCTATGTGAATGTCATCTATGCATGCAATGTGATACACTCCAGCAAGTTGTGAACTGTCAGGTTCCTTGCAGTCCCCAAAATCACAAATTTTGACCTAACTGTCAAAATCGATTTTTTTTTCTTTTTTCTCGGATTTTGTGTTCCAGCTGTTTCTGTTTCAAATCGCATATAGCATAGCATCCGAAATGTTTGTTTTTCCCATTCTCTTTTGAAACTCGAAATTCCGTTGCTGGAAACCGGAAGATTGTTATGATTTTTTTTTTCCGATTGGTATGTACTTTTGCAATTTCCCGATATTTGAAAATTCCACGATTTTTTTTGGAATTCCCAAAATTGAAAATTCGTTATTTCGATTTTTTTTTTGGAAATCGGTTGCGTAGATTTTTTTATTTTTCACGCATTCTGGTGGTAACGGAAATTCCGAAATTTGAGTAGGACCATTACTCCAAGATTCTGAAATTATTTTTTCGGGAAATCCCTCTCACCCGAGTAATTCTGATTTTTTTTTCGGAATTCGCTGAACTTGCGGATTTTTTTTTTTTCTTTTCGCAGTTCTATTAACTCAGATTATTCATTCATTATTATTCATTTGCAGTCTGAAATTCGAAATTCTTTTGCTGATTATCTGCTGTGGGGGGAAATCGGGGGACCTACCGAACTTGCAATTTCGATTTTTTTTTTTCTCTCTCAAAATATGCAGCAAAGTTCCAACTTTTCGCTTCTTTTTTTATTAGTGGCTCCTTATCTGGGCGATCCATTTGATTCCCACACCCCCCACCTCTCTGTCCCACCCCTCTCCTGTTCTTTCTCAACTGTCCATCAGGTAGCCCCGGCTGCAGCGTTGGTAAGTCCGCACATTCCGCGACGCATGCTCACTCGCTCACAGACAGCAGGGATGGATCAGAAGCAAGGCGAATCTGATGCGGACTATGAGACACGGATGATGGCTATGATGGCCGAAAGCAAGCAGCGGGCAGAGGCAGCAGCAGCTGCACGCAAGAAGGAGGCAGAGGCTGAGAGGCTGCGTCTTCTGGCAGAAGAACAACGGCAGAAGCACGCAGCAGCAGCAGTGAAGGCCGCAGATGAAGAGCGCATACGGCGGCGGGAGATTCTATTTAACGAGGAAAATGCGGTACACATGCAGGCCAAGGATGGCAGAAGGAGGCCGAGAGTGGGGAATCCGCTGACTACGGGAGCAAGTTATCTCAATTCCTCAACTGCGTCTCGGACCTTCTCGCTACGTGCATTGCACAACAGGACATTCACTCTCTCGACCACGCCAACCACGCGCTACAGCAGTCGGTGGATCAGCTGACCAAGCGCGTATATCAGTCGGAGAAGCGACCAGTCGCCCCCTCCAGCGTCGGCCCCTCCGACCTTGCCGATCGTGTAAACGTCTTGGAGATAGACGCGGGAACGCTCAAGACTGGGGCACAACGGCTGGAGCAGCAGGTTTGCGCAGCGACAGCCGGCCCTAGCACGTCCTCCCGCGAGACCATTCCCAAATTTGACGGGGTCCCGATCTTCTGCGACACATCGAAGACAGACCCTATACAGTGGTGGCGCCAGTTCGAACTCAAGCTGGACATCCACAAGGTCGTCGACAACAATCGACATGCATACTTGTACTCTCGGTCAGGAGGTGCGTGTCAAGCATGGTTGGACAACATGTTGTCCGCACACGCGTGCACAGTCTCCGAGCTGCATAACTTCATCACATGGACTAATCTCACGGCAGCATGGCAGAAACATTTCCAAGTGGAACCGCCCGAGCATCAGACGATGGACAAGCTGTTGACATTTTCTCAGAACAACATGCCAAGCGGAGACTGGATATCCGAGTTCCAACGCCTGGCGAGCATGCCGAAACTGCCAATGACCTTCGACAACATTAAGCTCTACTTCATCAAGAGGTCGTGCCCCGTGTTGCAAAATGCGTTGACTCAAGTCGCCGAGAACCTCAACACAAGTGAAGAACTCTTCAACAAGCCCGCGCAGATCATTGTGATGAACATGGAAGCCAAGAATATTGGTCGCTCGTCGACTGCCGGCCAGGGCGCGTATCAACATCGGCCGAAAGTGGCCGTAGTCGCGGCGGCAACGCCGAGTGACCCTTCGATTTCAAACGAGGCTGCCTCGTCTGACGAGGGAGACAGATTAGCAGCTGCCCGGAACGGTGGCCGCCCCGCCGAAGGACGAGGTCGCGGCGAAACGAAGACAAACACCACTTCTTCAGGGCCCGGACAAGCAGCTCCAACCCAAGAACCTTGGACACATTATGGTCTGTCGGAGCGCGGGTATCACATCCGCACCAAGTACCGCTATTGTTTGTGGTGCAACAGCTCAGCGCATGATACTGCAAGCTGCACAACCAAGGGCACTTCCTAGTCGGGAAAGTGAGCATCGCCGAGAGTGATGCGACAACACTCTCGACGCCTTCGGAACCGGTTGCCGTGCGGGTAACCTCCCTCGGTTCCGGGGCACAAGCGGAAGTCGTAAGTCCTCCCATTCTTCATTCTTTTGAGGACCATGCTCCCTGGCTTGTACCTTCGCTGAATTCATGAGCCCAAGGACAGGATGTATGTGCGGTTTCTTCTCTGTTCGAAAGCAGCGACATTGAGTCGTCTTCAAGTGGACCTTCACGGGATTCGGCGCACGCGTTCAACATAGAGGACTTGGACTCGTTGACGCCCGAGGATTTTGCATGGCTTCCTCTCCCTTCCACCGGCTGCTTACCGGAACCGCAATGCGCAGCACCTAGCGCTCATCTAAATACATACTTGGCCTTCTATGCACCACCAACTTCGCCGACGGATGACGAAGTCGCGGTGGGGGACATCCTTGCGTGTGTTACGAAGGTGGCCCGCGAGTTTTGCACGCAGCGGTACGATGATAACAACGCACTGCTCCTTTATGTCTGCATCCAAGTTGGGCAAGCGTCCTACAACGCTTTGCTGGATAGCGACGGGACTCACAATTTCATCAGCCAGTCCTTTATCCAACGGGCCGGCCTTGGCCCACAAGTTCGAAGGAAGGCAAACCCTACGGCGATCAAGTTGGCGGACGGAAGGACGCAACAACTCCTGGACCGCTACATCGAGGCCGTACCGGTCTATTTCGCACCTCATGCATGTGAACTGGTGACGTTTGACGTCTTGAACACGGACTTCGACATCATTTTGGGCATGCCTTGGCTTGCAAGTGCGGATCACACGGTCAACTTCCATCGGCGGACACTTACGGTCCGCGATGCCTTTGGCACCGAAGTGTCGTGTACCATCCCTCCTCCACACCCTTCGATCCAATGCCAAGTTGTGACGGCCAAGTCTTTCCGGGCTACTTGCGCTTACAAGCGGCCCGACGAGATAGGCCTATGTTTCCTTCGAATCGTCACGGTAGCCTACTCTCCACCCACGGACTTGTCTTCGGACCCCCGTGTGGTACGGTTGCTTGACAAATTCACCGACATCTTCGAGTCACCTACCAGCGTGGTGCCGGATTGGCCAATCTCTCACGAGATCATTCTCGAGGTCGGTGTCGTGCCGCCGAAAGGTTGCATCTACCGCATGAGTGAGGAGGAACTTACAGTACTCCGCGCACAGCTCGATGACTTGTTGGACAAAGGCTGGATCCGGCCTAGTAGCTCACCCTATGGTGCACCAGTTCTCTTCGTGCGGAAGAAGAACAAGGACCTTCGCCTATGCATCGATTGCCGCAAGCTCAATGCACAAACCGTCAAGAACGTGGGACCTTTTCCTCGTATTGACGACCTTCTGGAGCATTTGGGCAGC